ATATTTTTTGTTGGATTTTTTTTTTTTCAGTTGATTGAGTCAAGGGTAAATACAGACATTTTTTACTTTGTTAAAAGTTCTTTGGGTATTTTTAAATAATTAAAAACTTTAAATAAAATTAAGTTTTAATTACTTAAGTTTAATGGGACAGCTTTTACCAGGAAATACTCTTTCTAAAATGTTACGCTATGTGCAGTATCTAAAATTTTAATGCTGTGAAGCACCATTTTAAAATTTTAGTATACTGGGTCTAGCCCAAATGATGATGAAGCCGTATCTCCAAATGGCTAAGCTCACAGTTCCTCGTTTTCATTTGAACACCTTTAGTATTTATTTGCCTAAGGAAATTACAATTACTTTATGCTTAGGTAATTATAACCCGTAACTATTTGACTGACTAAACTATTAAAATGGAAAGATAATGTTATTTTATATCTCAGATAGAACAGAAATCCATTTATGAAACAAAAACCCTGTGAAGTTCTTTTCTGTGTTAACTGTGAAACACAGCTGTTATTCACATAGTCAGATCTCCTTGTTTCTACTTTCTGTGGGTTTATTTTAATACACACTTTTTTAGCTCTCTGTTTCCCCTCCCACATGTTCTGTCCACATAATTCTGTAATTCTTCCGTGTAATTATAAAAGTGAGTATTCAGATACACAAGTTTATGTAACTTGTTTTGTTCTGTGCCCCACAGCTAGCTTTTGGGAGGTGCTGTTCTTCCTATGAAAATTGTTTTAATTGACTTAAGAGTGTTTAGTAGGCTTCTCTAAATAAAACAGGAAAGATGATAGTTACCTCAGAGATCCTCCCGGAGAAGAGAGCTTACTGTTCTAGCAGATCTCCCTCCCTGTCCCCTGCCCCATTTCTGAATAGGTAGCAAAGGCAGTTCTGCATGTTGAGAACTGACGTTTTCTTACTTGGTGTTTGTTTGCGCTGCAGGTACTTTGGAAGTTCGCCTTATGGGCTGTCAGGATATCCTAGAGAATGTCCCTGGACGGTCAAAGGCAGCAGCGGTTGCACTGCCTGGTTGGAGTCCAAGTGAAACCAGATCATCGTTTATGAGCAGAACGAGTAAAAGTAAAGGCGGAAGTAGTCGAAATCTCCTGAAAACCGATGACTTGTCCAGTTCAGTAACCAGATTTTTTAACAACCGTGTAACAGATTAAAGGGCCTATATAAAAGACTGAGCAATGCGGACAGGGAGGAGTGAGAAGAGTCAGCGTTGGGCAACAGACTTTAAAATTATGATTTCCATAATTTGAATTTAAAACAGCAAAAGCAAAATGACAGGGAGATAAAAAAAGGCAACAAAATTTTCTTTACTGGAAATATATTAGAAAACTGAATGACATATAGCATTAATTCTTTTGGAATAATGAAATATTGAACATCACCCTTTATGTCGAACTTTTGTGTTACATCTTGACTCTTGTAATGGTGTACTGACACTTCTTTAAAGTAACACTGAGATTTTGGTAACTAAGCACTAAACTAAACATTTTTAATAGGATAGTAGCCTGATATCCCAGTAGTGAATTGAACTGGGGGAGAGGGTAACGGTGGTAAGAGTAAAATACAAGAGGTTTATGAATCACTTTGAGGACACCTAAAGTATAATCATAAACTACAGTATAAACGTGTAACTAGAGGGGAAGGCATGTGGCAGTTTAGCCTAGTACAGAGTGCAGAGGTGAGCGTGTCTGTGCTTTCCTGTATAGCGAGAGAGGTGTTAGGAAAAATATGAAAACTGAAATTGTGTAAGGTAATCTTTAGCTAACGCAGAGGGAGAAGACCTGGGTGATTGATAATGATACACAAACATGCACACATACATGTGGCAAACAACTACTGGGCACCGTTAGACCTACCAGTTACGTTCGAATATAAACGAAATAGATAGCAGTTCTTATTTGTGTTTTTGAGAAACACAAAGGATGACTTGGGAGGGTCTAGTGGGAGTGTATGCAGATATAAAACTATCCATTTACGATTCAAAAGCTTTAGTAGGGGGTAAGAGAAACCTTATTTTCAAAGGATCCTAAGACTTGCTGATACTCAACAATGGCACTTCTGTTTTAAAGTTTTTAAGCATATTCAAGCAAGCTTTTAAATTGTAATTACAGATGATGTCTGTGCAGTTTTGAAGCTAGATAATACTGTGGTTGGTCAAACTAGCTGGAAACCAATTTCCAATCAGTCATGGGACCAGAAGTTTACACTGGAACTAGACAGGGTAAGATGAGAATTTTTTTACTTGAGTTTTCATTATATTTATGATAAATTTTATGTTTTAGAAAACTTTGATAAGTTTTATTCTCAACAAAATACAAGAAGAATCTAAGTGTTTTTGACATTTCTCATCTGATGAGGCGTATGTAAATCTGCCTTATCAGATTGCTACAGTAGCTTTCATTTGTGCAGCGATTGGAAAATGTGTACTTCAACAGCAAGAAGATCGACAACAAGGTGAGATCTAACACTAAAATATGTTTTTTTACTTTAAAAAAGTGCTCTCTCAGCACTAAGATGATTCTTCTGACTCACCATTTGTAGGTCACACTCTCAAAGCTGGCTTGGAAGTGAGCTGCTGGGCTCAGGCAGCCGTTCCTCCGTGTATCTCAGTGGCTCTCGTGACTGTTGTGACTAGAATGCGATCTGTAACTGGAACCCAGCAGACGTTACCATGGTCCACAGTGGATTCAAATCCACCACGATAACTTTATTATTTAGATTCTAATCTGTCCTTTGGGGTGTGGGAAGAAAAATTAAAACTTAATCATAATTTTATTTTAAAAATAAGAAAGATAATAAGCTTTTTATCATTTAGTATTCAGATTGATTCATTTTAAAAAGTGCATGTATTAGTGAAAGCGAGTTTATAATACTCAGTGTTGATGTGAGGTGGCAATTACTGCTCTAGTGTCTACTCTTGAAGTATTCTTCCAATTTATTTTTTTCCATCTCACAGCCAGCATCTAATCAGGCCCTCATTGTTGCTTTTCTTGGTTCAAATACTGTGTCTGCCACTTAAATATTAAGTGTATTCGAACAAAATGCTTAACTTTTTATGTTTACCAATTTATCTTTAATGCTATCTACTTCATTGAAATGTGTGAGGATTAAATTTATGTAAAAATTCTAGGCTAGTGGTAAGAACTCAATTAATGTTGGCTGTTTTTACCAAAGTAATTTACTAACTAATTTTCCACGTGTCTGAGTACCAGACTGATCTTCAAAGAATAGTACTTTCATCTTGGCATTCATTCTGTGGTTTAGGGTCATTCATTTATTCGTAAACAATTACTGTGATATCATTATTCATTTAATCAACAAATATTCATTGATGCTTCCTAAATTCCAGGCACTTCCAGGTGATAGATTAGCAACAAACAATATAAACAAGGTCTCTCAAGATTCCCTCAAGGAGCTTCTATTTCAGTGGCCTCTCAGGATATATCTGATTATTTGCAGACTTCTTACCATCTCATCTGAAACTGTATGATTTCACTTAAAAGGGTATTGAGGACTTAGAATGAATGCTTGGCTAAGGTGATTATACTTGTTGAAGGTGAAGAGAGAGACATAACGGAAAAATTGATTTGGGGATTGTATGAAGAACAAGTTTAAGGGGACAGAGACTAGAGGCGTATAAATTGGCAGGATGCTACTCCAGTACTACAACTGTAAGGTGAAGAGAACTTCAAGTAAAATGTGGCAGTAGGAATAGAAAGAAGGAGATACATGTAGGAATGGCTGTAATGAAACTCTTAGGCTTAAGCATCGCTGATTTTCTCTTCGGTGCTAGGCACATTCTAGATGCTGGTGGTGATTGATCAGAATAGGCAAAGGCCTATACTTTGGACCTTATGTTTTAATGAGTAAACAAGTTTTTTAAAAATCTGCAAGTGCAATGAAGTAAATATGGTGGTATAATGAGGCGGTGGGTCTACTTTAGGTAGAGAACATAATTGGGGAAAGTCTCTTTGAGGAGGCTACATTTGACTTTTGAGACCTGATGAGCAAAAAGTTGCCGGACTTACCAGAGATGCAGCTAGAATTTTCCTAGCAAAGGAGACAAAACATACAATACCTCGAGGTGGGAGAAAACTTGACGTATTTTAAGAGTAAAAATCATAAGACAGATCCGTGTGGAGAAGTAAAATAGCAGATGTAGGTGGGTGTCAGATTACTTGGGCCTTTACAGTCTGTGAATTAGAAGGCAGTTGAAGGCTTTCGATAGGGGAGTTGGCATCATCTGATCGGATGATCTGATAGAAGTCAGTACCATTCCCTACAGGAGGCAGTAAAAGAGTCATTAGCCCATAATGAGAAAGAGCTTATGATGAAAGAAAACAAAGGTCTAACAGTCAAATCTTAAGCAGTATTCCCAAGAATGGAAAGAGAAAGAGGGTTTGCCAAAGAGAAATGGAAAACTCTGGGTTTGATCAGATCATAACCTTATAAAAATTTATCCAGTGAAGAACTGCTAGGATGGTGAGATGATGAAAATCCTCTTGCATATGAAACAGTTGAAGAAAAATGGGAGTTCAAGTCTATTAGAAAAGAGATTTAATAAAGATTTGTTAACTGTCTTTAAAGTTAAAAGGAGGAAGATTTAGGAAAAAAATTAAACTAGGGATAGCAAGGAGATTTCCATTTGTGTGTATTGACTCTGATGGATTGGTAGTAACTTTCTGGAGCTCAGGGTTTACTGGGTGGGTCCTTCTTTTCAGAGAAGATTATGCTGACCAAGTCGCTGTGTTAAAAGTGATGGCCAGATGCTTGGCAAAGGGGCAAGTGGTAAGCTGCAGTATACAGTCGTTCCATCCTTTGATTGACTGTACTTTGTGGGTGTGGAGGACAAAGCCAAAGTCAATGATGGCAGATTTCATTTCAGTGTAAGGATTAATACTGTTAAAAAATGAAATGAGCTGCTCTATAAAGTAGTAAGTTCTCTCTCAATAAAGTTGAATGAGCAACCCAAAAGAGACTTTAAGGGAATTCTTGTATCAGATAAAGATTACACTCCCAAGATTTTTTTCAACTCTGACAGTTTCTCTTTCAGAGCAAGAGGAGGCCTAGCATTGTTTCATGCTATAAATTAACTAAACAGTTAGACGAATATAATTCAGTGAAGCCCATCAGAGAGAGAAATACAGTTGAGGTCGTTAGTGTTTATAGATACGGTTTTCTGTTGCATTATGTTTGCATCTTCCTTCTAAACTGTGTGAATACATATAAATAACCATGATTATAAAATGTTTCAGTTTCCACTCATACTTAATGGAATAGATCGGCTGTAACGTTGGCTTTGAAGCCAAACTGGATTCATTGACCACCTGCTGCTTATTAACTGTTTGGTGGTAGACAAGTTACATAACCTTTCTGCTGGGCATTTGTTTCACCATCTCTGAAATGAGGGTGAAATATGATCCTCACAGGACTGTTAGGAAGAAGTACTAAGGTAGTGTGTAAAACGCCTCCTGTCGCCTGGCACGTTCAGCTCTTCGATGTTATTAGTTCTTTCTTTAACCCTAGGCTTTGGCATGTGGCTATGAATTTGAGTGTAAAGGAAGAGCATGTTAGGTAATGGGGAATTAACTGGTTGAATGTCATTTTCATTTCAGAGCCTATTTAAGGTAATTATAGGATTCTGATGAGTGATATGATCAAAATGAAAGTTAAGAAAGAGATTGTTAGAGGGAAAATGGTTGGTTAGATTTCTCTTGTAGCGAGGTTATTGAGTTAGAGTTTTACATTTAAAATAGGAGTTAAAAGTAATTGTCTTGCCAGCATTTACAGGTAAGGAAACTGAGGGCCGGAGTGATTCGCTATTAATAAATTTCAAAGCTGATGCTAGACCTTGAGTGTCCCTCAGAATAGAAGCTCTTCCCTCTGTGGTGATTTGTAGGAGGTAGATGACAGTGGCACAAAGGAGGAAGCAGCAGAAGACGACTAAAACCTGGTAAAGCGGAAATAGTTAAGCATGACCCAGGCTGCAGCTTAGAAAACTAGAAAGACCGGTAACTGTTGGTGGGTTTTCTTTACGTGCAGTTGTAATCTTCACCTAAAGTTGTTTTTCTTCTTCATGGCGTCAGACTTTCTTCCCACCTGGGAGTCATCCTCCCTTTGAAACTTCGAAGACGCTGCGTGGCTGAGTAAAGCTGTTCCTCCCTCAGGCCGGCTAGGCCTTCTGCGTTCCTGATATGCATGCTGCTTTTCCCTCATTGGATTATACACTCCTCTTGGACAGAGACCACCTTCCTTATTATAAGTCCTTCTGTTTACATAGTGCGTTTTACTTTTTCATGTGCTCTTTCTTCAGTCCCTTATATTAATAGAAAATTTGTTTATAGAAAATGTTTATGGAAACATTTATGGAAAAGATTATTTTAAACTGACATGCTCATGCCCAGCATTTTGCCTCAAATGCCAAATCTCTTTTCTTTGGCATTTTGGAACTAAATTGTCTGTACTGTTTCTGTCCTTTCCAAAATACAAAAATTAATAGGTCTTTTTAGAATTTTAAGGTACTCCAGAAATGCTCTGCATCTAGAATAGTCTAGAGAATTTCAGATTATGCTTTGGGGAGCTCAGGGCTCTGCAGAATTGTTTCAGGAGGCCACATAGAGCCCTTTTTTGGTTTGTTTTGAGATTCTAGGTAACATGTCATTTGGAATTTGCCACTTTAAAAAAAAGTTTGAAAACTGCTGATGTAATCCAGCCCCTTCATTTTATAGATTAATCATGAAATCGTGGCCTAGGGATTCAGTAACCAGTCTAAGCTGTGATCTAGGATTCCTAAATGTGCTATCAGTTCTGTGTTCTTTCTATTCTTATCAGGTAACCCTTTTTATATTTTCTTATAAAATTTGGCCTTTGTTAATGTTTATCATAAGAAATTACATAGTTATTGTGTCTATTTTTTCTGAATTCCTCAGCCCTCTTGTTGTAAAAAGTTTAATCCTCCCATGAGAGATTGAAATAAAAGGCAAGAGTCCTTATATCTAACTTTTTCTCATTCACAGTTCCTTTTGATTAACTTTGCTAATGTAATAGCGGACAGTCTGTATCAATATGGAAACAAGAAAGGGCCCTGTCCTTAGAACTGAAACTTAGAAAAATTGTAGCAGGGATCAGTTCTGTTAAGAGTAGAGCAATAGAGGGAGGGAGGGAGGGTGTAGCTCAGTGGTAGAGTGCATGCCTAGCATGCGTGAGGTCCTGGGTTCAATC